GAGGCCTAAATGGTTGAGATTCAAGTCTAGGAGAGAGCCTATGAACTTTCCCCGCCTTTTATAAAAAAGAACAACCCATTCCAATAAAGAGGGGAGGAGAGGACAAAACTGAAAAACCACACATATCCACACATTGTGTTTATAAACCCTCAAACATGAAACATCAGTTAATTTGATAAACTCTCACATATAAACACACGCATGCTACCACTTGCACACCATTAAAAAACTTATATACACTAGACTTCACTACAACACCCTACATGTTCAAAATCCTTCTACTAGAGATATAACCTCAACCTTTGAACCTCAACTTTCAAAATTGGTTAACCTTATCAAGTTTTCAATAGCTCTATCCAAAAAGGTAGCTCCAACCAGAGCAAGAGAAATTGAAACCAAGTTTATAACAACAACCTCATTATTCTGGTTTGGTTTCCAACATCAGTTCTTTTAGTCTAAGCATCCCTAACAACAACATAGTGTTTACCCAAGCACTATAGAATAGTCGGGGCACGAGAAACATTCATAAACAAGAAGTCTAGAACTTTATGTTGTAATAAGAATGAGTTTCTCTCTCGCTGTTCTTTTATGCCCTCCATATCCTGTTAATTTTTTCTTAGTCATAAGGCATGTTATAGTATAGTGTGGCTATTAGTTGTGTTTGTAAAAGAAGCAAAGGTTCTTTTATATAAGCATGGATTTGTTTTGGAATGGGTATCTCCCTTTACATCATAAAGAAATATGCTAGTATATTACCCATATATTTTAGTCTAAAACATGGCAACTTTCTTTCTCTCTTTTTGTTTGGTATTATAAAGCTTCGTCCCCTAGAATAATATATACATAGAGTTTTATAATGTTTCCTCATGGTGATGTGTTTTTGTAACTGTTTTGGGGGAGTAAGAACATCCTTGCAAGTTAGCCTTTTATATGAATATAGTTCCATACCATTTAAATCTTAGCTTTATATGCATATGATTTTTTTAGTAAAGGCTATACACAAGTTCATCAAATAATGTTTTGATCCTTCAAAAATTCAAAAATAAAATAGGGTATTTAATTATATTCATGGGTCAGGCTTTCAAAATATATTTTTAAATGGGTTTTTGTCTTTGGATGAGGCCATGTCTCTTTTTATTATGAGTTATAAAATGCTAGCTCAGTCCATGTGGTTGATTACCAAAGGGAAAAAAATGCTTTTTTTTTTTTTTATGTTTCTTAGGACATGTTTACCAAAAATTCCCAAATAGATTTTTTTTACAGTTTTATTTTATTGATTTTTTCTTGTTTTGTCAAATAAGACCCAAATGATTTCCAAAAAATTCTAAGAAATTTTAAGGACTATTTCAATATTATTTATAGGTCTCTCTCATGTTTTGTTTCTAAAAAAAATTCACTTAATATCAGGCTATATAGTACATTGTAAGATATAAACTCGATATTAAAAATACTTATTTTTCTTTGAAATATCAAAAAAAAAATTTAAAGATTCAAAAATATGAAAATATGTTTTTATTTGTGTGCATATGGTCAAGTTTATCCAAAATAGAAAAAAATATATTTCTGTTAAAAAAAGAGGACGTTGCATGATTTAACATCTTTTAAAAACCAAAATTCTAGAAAAATAATTTTGTTAACATCTTTGCATGCATTTTGATTAATGATTAATTTATAAAATCCTTCAGGATTTGTTCTACATTTCAAAAATATATAAAAAAAAAACTATCTTTTCTTTTAATATATGACATAATGAACTTATACATATGATGTATTCTCAATATTGCAGGAAAAAAAATAGTATTTTTTCCTTTTATTTGTTTTGACTCTAAATTGGTTAGACTTGACCATAAAGCTATGGTCCACTCTACTTGTGTGGACCAACTTTAACCATTAAATGATTAGAAAATACAATAGTACATTAGTTTATTCTAGATAAATAAATAATACAAGTTACATTAAGTTAGGTGTGTTATAGGTGATACATCATTTTTATATACAACCAATTCCCTCTATCTAGACTTTGAGACTAGTTAGAGTTTCTAGTGATCAAAATAATAGGTAACAACTCCATCCTTCTTTTTTTTTACTAATAAGAAATAAAAATTTCTTGTTATTTTCACCCATCACCATAAAAATCTTGTTTTGGAAGGATGTTCGTCATGATGCCGGACACTTGCGACAATGATTTTATTTTTTGACTTGATACTTATTTGTTTTATTTACAGGATGATCTTCATGTTATATTTTCAAGAACAAATCCTTTCAAAAAGGGAGGAGATGATATTAACAAAGTATGATCCGAATTTTGCCTGGAAATGCCTATTGAGTACTTTTGTAAGATAGAACATATCTTTCAAACTGTATATTTTATAATGTTTATATTTTATAGGTAGATGTTAGACAATGTAACTCTATTGTGATATGATTTCAGGTAAATAAATATTCAAGAATATATTATTTAAATAGGTCAAAGTTGTTGTTTTTGCTTTGGGAGATTTGTCAATAAAGTGTTTTTTCTTGGCAATTTCAGCCCAATCATTCCAAACTTGTAATGGGTTAATTTTCAAAAAGAAAAAGAAGATTAAATTAGGTTTATTTAAGCCTTCAACTTGTACATGGACTTAGGCCGTAAGAGTTTTTAATGTGGCTTAGATTTATTAAAGATTTGAATTTCTTTCTTTCCTATGATATGTGTGGCAACTAGATGCTTTATAAATTCTTTAGTTTCGGTTCTCATTTATTTATTTTGGTTCCCTTTAAGTTATGGCATATTAGAGGGAATTTTAATACTTGTTTTTTCATTATTGATTTATGCTTTTATGCTTAATTAATTAGCTAAGCCCAAGACTTGTATAAACTTAATTATTAATTAGCTTTCAGCTACAACCTAAGATTTGTTCAGGTCCATACTTTCAAGTTTTTCTAGTAAAGATTTTTGGTCAATTTTGCAAGTGGGCCAAGTTAGCCCACAAGAGTATATCCCTTACGATTTTTATTTTCATAAATATAAATATTTTTTCTAATGACAATATATTGAGACTTAATAATACTATTATCATTGAATTTATTTAACTTATATGTGAGAGATTCTTGCATTCTTTGATTCTCTGATAAACTAAATTGACTTATAAAAAAATTAACTAGCTTTGTGGCCTCTTTCTTACATTTCTCATTCATGAATTAATATTTTTAGAGTGGTGGTTCTTATTCTAATATTATTGGTTTCTTAGGATAGGTTTCTATTCTATCACACTCCTATCATACTCATTTTAGCTTTCCAAGATTCATTGTCAATTCTGTTGTGGGTTGTGTAGCCAAGATTCATTGTCAATTCTGTTGTGGGTTGCGTAGCCACTTAATCATGAGGTTCACATCATTATAATGGAGATTAACTCTAAACTAAACTAAATAATTAAAGGAAAAAATAAAAAAATAATTGAAAAAACATAAAACAACCACGTCAACTTGGGTTAGATGGATTAATACACAACTCGAGATATAAAATCAAAATAACTCTAAATAAAAAAACCAAAAAAATCATGAAATTTAAGGCCCAATAACCAAATATCGAAGGATAAAATTGATAGAAAACACCATTTTTTTTTTAAAAAATCAAAGTTAAATCAGGATAATATTTGAAACCTTGATCCGAGTTACGAGACTAGAATTAGTCTCATATAAGGAAAATATAAAAAAATTGCAAAGAAAAAATCTCAATCATCCAAATATTGAGGGATGGTATTGAAAATAAATAAATCAAGTAAATAATTAAAAAAACAAATAGCAACACAAAAATAAGGATCATATTTAGTATACAAATTAAAAGAAATAAAACAATGAGGAATAAAATTAAAAATAAAATAAAATAAAATAAATCAAGATAAAGATAAAAACATAAAATAACAATCAAAATAATAAAAATTAAATTGGATAAAAAAATTAAATGAAATCAAATCATAAGGTATGAAACCGTGAAAAAAAAATCAACTAAAAAAAGCATTAATAAATAAATAAATAAATAGTAATTAAAAAAATATAGATCAAAATTGATATAAATATAAATTAATGTTACATATTTAATTCTTAGAAAGACAAGTGAAAAACCTGAGATAAGAAGAAAAAAAAGTAGTAGGAGAGAAAATATTCATTAAAATCAACTAATGCACCATTGTGTACACACACTTCGCCACTAGAAAAAGGATGTCAGGGTGTTTTCACTGTTGTCATGGAAAGCAACCTTTGGCCATTAGAAACACCTCACACATTGCATGAAAAACACAAACATCTCTTGCTCATTTTTATGGGTGCTGCATGCATCAATCACATTTAATTTTTAAATAATATTTTATATTTATTAAAATATTAAATTATCCCTTAATTAATTTTATTATAACTAAAAAATCGGGTTAAAGATAAAAAAAGCTCTTAGATACTAATTCAAAATTCTAATTCAAAAAAAAAAACATTGATTTTAAGAGTAGTTTATTAATTTTATTATACTTCTAACAAGTGAAAATTTAAAACAACTCTAATACCAGTTAAATAAATATTTAATTATTAATATTATTCATAAATTTATTTCTAATAAAATATTAAAAAATGTTAAGAAGCAACATCAAAATCAAGAAATATATTAATATTTTAGAAAAAATAATAAAAATATTCTATAATCTATGCGCGTATTTTGTATACAAACTTTTTATAAATTATATTACTTGCATAATTGATACTAAAAATATAAAAAAATAAAAATGTCCTTCATATATTTATATTCATTAATGTGCTGACAAAATTGCACCTCTCTCTTTCATCTCTAGTAATGCTAATTAATATAATTAAAATATAATACATAAATTAAAACTAATTATATAAACAGTAATCTATAAAATATAATTAACAAAAAACGATATATAAAATATTTCTTAAGCATGTTGTTTTTAATAATTTTATCTTAATATTTGTTCTGTTCGAGTGGAAAGACCTTTTTTTAGAACCGTTCCCACAGACTCGACAGCTGTGAAGTTGCGCTGTCATAAATTAATGAATCAGTCGGTGAGATCCTTCCCACCCGGCGTAATACATCATCACTTGTGATGTGGCGTCACCACATCAAATACGTAAGCCAACTAGGGCATAACACAAAATCCCTCCCATCCTTACAGAAGGTAACAAAAAGCCTTTTGAAATTGTCTTCTCATCCCTGTCTCTCTCCCTCTCTCTGTTCCATCATAAATTTAAAGGGAAGAGGCATATTTCAGGTTTGTGCATGAATCTAATATAGCTAAAAAATCCCATCAAACAGAAATTAAAATACTAGATAGTACTCAGCACTAGTTAAGTATAGTATTAGATTCACGCACAAACTCGTAATCTGTCTTTTTCAATTCCTTTCCTCTTCTTTTTTATCTTCCCAGCAGGCAGGCCGCTCTTGTTCTTCCATGGATTTTCTTGTCTCTTCTGCTTCAAATCTTGATGTCCTTTGGCGCTGTTGGCTTTGGGGATCATCTTTCAGTCAAGTAATACCACTCTATTTTAGTTTTTTTCTTTTGCCCTACTCTGTTTTTATTCCGTTTTTATTGATGTATCTTTGCGGGATTTCTTAATTTTAGGTTCAGAATCCCATGTCAATAATTTTAGCAATTGAACATTTTAATGGTGGTTCTTTATCAACTACCCGTCAAGGAGAAAAACGTGATTTGGTAAGTCGGGCTACCCAGTTTGATTATTGATACGAGGCTTGATCAGTTCCCTGAATTAGCTAATAAGCTGGCGATTTTATTTAATTTGAAGCATACAATAGCTTAATTCTGTATGAAAATTTGTTTAAAAATCTGGATAGGTTAGTTACATTTCAATTTCTATTTGAATGAACTCTATTATTCCAAAGGGCTCATTAATGCTAATGCTCTGCAACGCATTGTTTAGGTGAATTTCTTTTGCGTTTAAAGCATACATAATGTCTATTCGGGAGTGTTAAATGATTTTTCAAAATGTTTTTGCTTAAAAATACATAAAAAAAATATTATCCATAGCCTTCCATCAAAGATTTTGGCATGCTTTCCCTGCCATCATTGTACCAAGTGGGTTTTTTTTTTTTCAATCTACTTCGATCATTGTACCAAGTGGGTTTTTTTTTTTTTTTTCAATCTACTTCAGTAGAATTTAGGGTATTATCAGAAACCTTAAAGGTGCGGCACATTTAGCTGGGAAAAACCAAGCATTGTAATATGTTTTTTTCACTTCCGTTGTCTTTATTTATTTATTCAATTTTATATTTACATATTGTATTTGATGAGTTTTAGTTAGATTATTTGTTTAGACTTGTTGTTTTATGGGATTTTTTAGGTCTTAGAAAAATATCTTGACTTTGGTTAGGCTTTGATTTCACATGAAAAAAATTGATTTTGTTGCTTTAAAAAAACATTCGAAGGACAAAATTAACAGTGAGAGAAGATTGAGGGTTTATTTTAAAAAAGGGAGCCTTCTTAACATTTTTGTCTTCACAATTTGGCAGAATTCATTTTTTGCCCCTTTAATTTGACTTTTTTTGTACAAATTTTCATTATATTCACATTTTTTTTTGTGTTTGAAAGAGATGAGAGTCGTAAAACAATAGAGAAGAGCTCGGTGATTCTTCTAAACTTGGTGTCAACAAGTTTTATTTGGTAAAATAAATTTTACTTATTTATTTTTTATTTCTAATATCACTTAAAAATAAATCAATGCTTTTATAAATAGAAAGTCATTTGATATCAAATATAGGTTTTTTAATTGTGTGCTCATTTTGATATTAGATATAAGGGTCTTTTGGGTGTGTTTAGTTGGAAATAATTTTTTTTGAGGTTGAAACCTGAATTTCTGCAAAAGTACTAGGATGTGTTGCCAGCACTTTTTTTGGGCTCAGCTTGTGAGCTCACCTAGGCTAAATGCATGGCTTGTTGTGTTATTTTTTTTCTTTTAGATTTTTATTTTAAATATATGAAAATAGATTAATTAAAAATTAATTTGATGTTTTTTAAAATACTATTAAATTTTTATTTTTTTTACTAGGCTCGTAGCCTTTTTTTTTTTTTAAAAAAATATTATATTAGCCAGTGCTTTTTTGCACACCATTTTATGATATTTTCTTTTGAAATATTTTATTTGATTAAATATCATTTGGTTTTTTATTTGTTTTTTAACAAGATTATGGCATTCTTTTTATAATAATAGGAAACACTCTTTTTGTTTGGTCTTTCATGATGAATATTGTTTTTCTTAATTTTTTTGGGTAACTTTCCCGCTCATGTCGATTTTTATTGTCTTATAATCAAATACAAAATGGATTCCAAAAAACAAATTTATTAAGAACAAGAGGTTTTGTCGCACTATGGGTGGACGACTAAATATATATAAAAAAAAATTAAAGTTACTATTTAGTAATTAAAAGAAATTAGAGACTCTAAAATGTACACCAGTTCAGTTATGTTTAAGAGAAAAATAACTTTACTCTCATAATATTTTTTCTTATGAATTTATCTTTTTGATTGCTTTCAATTATGATAATGATTTTTTTTTTTTCAGTTTATTTTTGGCTATTTGAAAGTTAATTTTGATGTGAATTCTTAAAAATAAAAGACTCATTGGCTTGATCATCTTTTATAAAAATCACATCATTTCCTAAAAGAAGTAGATTTGTCTTTCAAAAAAGAAATATTTGATAGCACCATCAAAAAATAGAAAACGCATCCACTTAGATCATTCATAAAAATTTATCATCGATACCTCATAGAAAGAGGTTCGTTTGTACAAATTTTCATTATATTCACATTTTATTTTTTGAGTTTGAAAGAGATGAGAGTCATGGAAAACGACTGAGAAGAGCAAAAAGTCCGTGATTCTTCTAAGCTTGATGTCTATAAGTTTTATTTGATAAAATAAATTTATTTATTTATTTATTTATTATTCCTAATATCACTTAAAAACAGATCAAGGCTGAGAAAGTTTTTTCCATTTCAGGTTGATTTTTTACTTTTTATAAATAGAAAATCATTTGATATTAAATATAGGTTTTTTTAAGTGTGTGCTCATTTTGATATTGGATATAAGGGTTTTTTGGTGTGTTTAGTTGGAAATAACTTTTTATTTTTGGGTTGAAGTCTGAATTTCTGCAAAACTACTGGGATGTGTTGGCAGCACTTTTTTGTGGGCTAAGCTTGTGAGCTCACCTAGGCTAAATGCGTGGCTTGTTTTGTTAATCTTTTTAAAAATTTTATTTTATATCTATTAAAATGGATTAATTAAAAATTAATTTGATATTTTTTAAATACTATCAAATTTTTAATTTTTTTACTAAGGTAATAGCTTTTAAAAAAAAAAATTATATTAGCCAGTGCTTTCTTTACACCATTTTATGATATTTTCTTTTGAAATATTTTATTTGACTACTATTTTTTTAGATATTATTTGATTAAGTAGCATTTGGTTTTTTATTTGTTTTTTAACAAGGTTATAGCATTCTTTTTCATCATAATAGGAAATACTCTTTTTGTGTGGTCTTTCATGATGAATATTGTTTTTCTTAATTTTTTTTTGGGTAACTTTCCCACTCATATCGATTTTTATTGTCTTATAATCAAATACAAAATGGATTCCAAAAAACAAATTTATTAAGAACAAGAGGTTTTGTCGCACTATGGGTGGACGACTAAATATATATAAAAAAAAATTAAAGTTACTATTTAGTAATTAAAAGAGATTAGAGACTCTAAAATGTGTAAGAGAAAAATAACTTTACCCTCATAATATTTTTTCTTATGAATTTATCTTTTTGATTGCTTTTAATTATGATAATGATTTTTTATTTTATTTTCAGTTTATTTTTGGTTATTTGAAAGTTAATTTTGATGTGAATTCTTAAAAATAAAAGACTCATTGGCTTGATCATCTTTTATAAAAATCACATCATTTCCTAAAAGAAGTAGATTTGTCTTTCAAAAAAGAAATATTTGATGGCATCACCATAGTAAACGCATCCACTTAGATCATTTGTAAAAATTTATCATCGATCCCTCATAGAAAGAGGTTCGCCAAAACCTTCGAGATCGGTCCTAAACAAACTTTCACCCAAAACCTTCGAGATCATTTGTAAATACTTTCACTGGGTCAAAATGTCTAGTCGAGCTTTCGAGCACCGTACTGTAACTCCTAGTTCGTTACTGTCAGAGCTTGCATATTCTGCAGATTTCAAGAGGCCAACCTTTACAATACAGATTCTCTCTTGGAGAGGGAGAGGAAAAAAAAAAAAAACTAACTTTAAATGTTCTATTTCTCACTACCACGCCTTTATCACGGATTGAAAGAATTGTATCCAAGGGAAATGAACCCATCCCTTCTCTTTTCTTTTCAAGACTTAAGAATCTAGGAATCCAGTCCATTTACATGTATGCATTCTGCAAGCAGGGATCAAATTACAAGTGAGCACTTTGTTCCATTATCAAGGCTGACTTATCATCTCCTAATCATTGACAGACAAGATTTATCATTAAAAGAGAAGGCAAGTGAATAAGAGATGCAAGAACTACTTGTAGAAGTCCTTGGTTTCCCATTTGCTACACATACATTCAAAAGGAAAATCCACAATTCAAGCCAACTTTATATTAGGATGTGTTACAGAGAGCATGCTTCATGTCAAATATACAAATAAAAGAACCTGATTCTGTAGAGCTAATTCTCTTAGAATGGATTGAAAGTATTGGAAGGAACTATGTAGTTGCCTCTGCACCACTGTTTGATGTCTAGAACTCTACCTCTTCCTTTTTCCTTTTCTTCTTGTTTGTGTATGCATCTCTGCCTCTTCCTCTCTCTGTCTTCCTGGTGTCTTGAATCAATTGATATCGATGCTTTATTACATTAGCTTTTATGATATGCCCTCTTCTCTCTCTCTCTCTCTCCCCTGATTAACAAGGGCTGGATCCTTGAAGATTTTCGTGATGAATTTGGACTCCCAACTAGCTTGGGTGTCGGCTACCAACCCTCCTTCGCTTGATTTGTTGGGAGAGAATAACGGTGCCTTCGTTTCAATGTTTTTTTGTTCTTTGGTCCCTGAACTTCTAATTTTTTTTTTTCGATCTTCATCTTGTTTTTTTTTTCTAATTTTCTTTCAATTTCTCCCTTGACCGAGTTACTATAGGCTCACTGGTTTTTCCATTGCTTCCATTTCAATCCATGATTCTTCAAATCTTCATTTTTTAGCTGATTTGACTCCCAATTTCAACTTTCTTCTTCAATTAAGTCATCAATTAATTTCCAACTTGCCTATTGGTTTAAAAATCATCCTTGAACTTCTAATTTCTTTCAATCTTAGTCAAATTAAATCAAACTAACCCCTTTTTTTTATCATTTTCTTCATTAATTAAGCTCTCAATTACGGCACAAAAATTCTCAAACTCAATTTTTGCTCATAATAATCAATTATTGGTCCAATTTCAACTCTAGCTATGTTTTTTTTTTTTTATCTTCTAGATGTTGTTGTATTTTTTTATTTGTATTTGTATTTTTATTTTCATGGTTTTTCTTAACACACAAAAATTAAATAAAAATAATCACATGATTAAAATTTACTAAATTTATTGAACACACACATGTTTTTCTAATTTCTCAAAATATATATAAAAATAAGAGGTTAAAAATTAGGTTATGGTATGATCTAAGACCTTGATCATAAGTATGGTAGGTTAACTCAAGTTAATCTCAATTAATTTAACATGACATCATCTTGTTTTATAAAAATAAAATGTTAAAACAACATTATCTTGAAAAATTCTTGTCCTTGATATAAAATTGGATTTTAATTAAGTTATATTTAGATTTATCTTGAAAAATTCTTGTCCTTGATATAAAAATTCTTGTCCTTGATATAAAATTAGATTTTAATTAAGTTATA